AAATCTTACCCAAAGTCGTGTGTTGTCAACCTCTCCCACCATAGGACCATAGCACACATGAAATCTCTATTCAAAATAAAGGACTCGCTATTAGCCCTAGAACACATGGAATCTATCTTCTCAATAAAGGACTCGCTTTTAGCCCTACACCTACTGGCATAGACCTAAGCAAAGACCCTCTTAATAACTTACCACTTCGCCAATGCCCCGAAACGTGCCAATACTTTTAATCTGCAACTTGAAAGAAAGTTTGCACCTAGATGCACCTGGACCCCTACCCTTACCCAGGAGTCAACCTCAACTTAGAAATCTTTTTTCGTGTTCTTAAACGCAAGCTTCTCAACCTGGACACAATTTAATTCAAGAGGAACAACCTCTTCCATGTAGAAAGGGAAGTCATAGGCAAAACAAACATAGACATCATCATCAAAACAGCTGACAAAGGTTCAGCTGTAGTAATCCTCAACAAATGCGATTATATCTCTGAAGCAGAAAAACAACTTTCTAATCAGCTATTCTTTCAACCCCTAAATGAAGAAAAAATCGTCAAGGGACTCATAGTAGACGAACCCTAGAAGGACGCTTTTACCTACTACCAAAAATACACAAAAACTGTCAACCTGGCAAAGTTCCGGGCAGACCTCAGTGGCAATGGGACACCTACTGATATTTCATCAAAAGATTCATTGATGAGCACATTAAACAGTTCATTCCCCTATACCCTGCTTTATCAGAAACACTACCCACAATCCAGAATCCAACCTTTCTAAGCCAACCATGATGTTCATCTGTCGATCTCTGTATCACACAAACATAAATCAATATCAGTAGTCCAATCACACCAGGCACAAGTTACCCGATACGAGTGTCGTCCCGTTCACAACATACGAACGAAACTAATCACTGATAATCAGGGATAACCGGTCGCTTAGCCAATCTTTATCTCTGATACATTCTATAGATTTTTGTTTATAGTTACAAATTTGAGCAAAAAGATTTGAATAGACAGTATCTGAATTGCAGGAATATATTTTAATTTGTGTGGCCTTAATCTGTCCACCTTCGTATGTACCTGTTTGTCGTAACACGTCCTGCATAAGTACTGTTAAAGGCTGTGTCCGATTTAATTTTTCTTAACACAAAAGTAACCATGTCTGCAGTTTGCAACTGTTCAGAAATCGAAATTAAATTACCCCCAAATTGTAACTCCGTGAGGTATAATATCGTAGGCCTAATCATTACTACGCCGAAATCAGAATGGTCGCCACCGGCCCTTCGCCGCATCGGTCTACATCAGAAATAATAACAGTATTATTAGTTTATGTCTTTTTTCCCCCTAAATTGAGCACAAGTAGATCGTAATATATTCGGGCACGACGTTCACCTACGTAAGTATTATGTTGTACAAAGCCCTGCCTTCCCTCCTCGTTTGTTAGGGGCATAGGCCTTACACTTCGGCATAATGTAAAAGATATGGCAGCCGACCTCTGTTGGGCACGAATGACGTATTTTCCGAATAGTCACGGAAACGACCGATCTTTTTTGCATATTTTTAAGGGTGTTTTTAAAAGGTGTTTTGTTGCTATTCTAGAATTTTTTTCGAATTGGTTGCAATCGGTAAATAAATAGTTTTACTTTAAATCTCAATAATCACCATCCACCAATTAAACTTCCTGCCCAATTTAGCAAATAGCAGCTTAAAACAAAATTTATGCTGAAATACCTTCATAAGTGCTCTATTCTATTGGCCTAATTGTTAAAAACGAGGTTAGTCTTATAGTGAAATTTATTACAGTTACTATGTCTGACCCTATTAAAACTATTTGACTGTTGGTCTTTCCTCCCGGTCCTGTGTATTTGTCTGACATTACTAAATTTTCCATGTGGAACTGCCCTGACATTTAATCAAACGTCATCTGAAATAGTTATCTAGTTTCATGGCTGGTGGAAGAGTTGAAAAGACAACAGGTTAAATCAAGAGTGCATACCGTTACATTTGATTGCTGATAACCACGAAAGATGAATCCCATGAAAGCAAACTTTTAAGTGAATTTAGGGTATTTAAAAAAAACAATTATTAAGTCACAGAAAAATGAACCTTCACTTTTATGGAAGTTTCTTGCAATATTAAGGACTAATTCTCAATAAACGACCATGTGTCTAGAAGAGTAAGCATATCCTGCCTGGAGCCACATCCGTCATGGCTGCTCAACATACACAACAACCACCAACAGAAGTAACAGCGCCTATTCAGGAACGTAACTGATAAAAATGCTTCTATCTTTTTCTTCACGTAGTTAGAATCCAAAAAAAAAATGGCATAATGATTCAGATTATTTTCTAAAATTAGTAAACTAATAATCTACTACTTCTCTAAATTAAACATAAAAGTAAGTATCTTGATCTGCTACATATACTACTTAATATATATCACAATCAAGGATTCAATAGAGGAATTTGAATACAAAAACAAAAAATAAAACATTTTAAAACAACATGTTTAATACAGGTGTAGATTTTTATGCCCACGTATTAGTATATTGCCGTTGCCCCTGTCCGTCGTTCCGTCCACATTTCTCAATCAAATTCGAATAAGATGAAGACTGCTCTTGTTTCAGACAGCTTGTAGTGGGCGTATGTTATCTTTCATGGCAAGCTATCTTTAACTCTAAAATTACATATTTAAAAGTTAATTATCAATAACGTTTTTTTTAATTACAGGTCAACATTTCTAGACCATTTTTTTTCTCTCTATTATTTTTGTCATTTAGTTCAAAGCAGTGTACAGTCATATAATTAATCTGCTAAATTTTTTGATTTTACTTGATAATTATAGAAAATCCAACTTATCCAGTTTTAGAGATGTCCAGATCAGATGTGTGTGTTTTTTGGCCATTCATTTATCAGACGGATTAAGCCTGCTTTAGGTGGCTTTTTAGATAATCGGCTGGGGGGAGGCTGTATCCATTAGGTTTGGCAAAGTGGTGGAACAGCACAAAGTCTATTAAGCAGAGTTAAAGAAATTCCTGCTTATGTTTGTGCTGTATTTATCCAAACTGGAGGGAATGACATTGGCTCACAAAAATCTGCTGAGGACGTGATTGTGGACATTATTAACTTAGTTAATAGTGTCGCTCATCATTGTCCTCATGCTGTAATTTTTGTTGGGTCAATATTTGTTTGTTTGAATCCAAGAGGTTCGGAGAGGTCCAGCTACAACAGTCAAAGACTCTACATCAATTCTCAGGTTAAATCACAATTATCCTGGTCGAATTAAGTGCGTTAATGGAATAGTAATCGACACATGCGCTATAATTGGTCGCACTTTGATCATCTTGGTGTTCATTTGAACAATAATGGAAATTTATTATTTGCTAACACTATTTTGAAAGCTTTTGAATTGGTGTTAAGGTGAATTAAAAAAGTACATAATATGTACTCGTGCTTATTAATTTGTATACTTACACTGCTATGTTCAATGTATGTGTCCATCTTTTTTTCATGTGGTATAACTTTTACTTTATAAACTTCGTTTTGTAACATAATACTTCAGTTATTTTATTATTTTCAAATTACATCTTTTCCTCTATTTTATTCTAGATATTATTTTGTATATGATATTATTTATTTCAATCTATTAATATTTATGTATTTGTGTATGTTTATTTTTCTTTTTTATTATGTAATAAATTATTTTACACTTATTTTAACTGGGTTTCATACACGTAATAGATATACATAATTATTTTGCAGACATTAATTTCCTAGACATATCAATAGCTACAGGACTGCAGAATGTAGAGCTATTGTTAAGTATTAAGTATTAATTATTCAAATGACACTGCTTTATATGAACTAGGTATAAGCTTATGATAAAAAAATTTGAAAAATATGACATGAAAGGTTATTTCAGGATATATTGGCATCACCCATATCTGTCCATACATCACCCATATCCGTCCAGAACATTCTAGTTCTACAAGGCAAAATTCTCGATGGATTTTTACAAAACTGGGTGTGGGTGTTGATAATTAATCAAGGATACTTGATGAGTTATTGCCCTTGATCTTAAATTTTTTTAGGCACAATTCCAGGGGGTGTTGATTACCGTGCCTGGCAAGATATCTTATTGAGTGTGACATAATTAATCATATTATTATCTTTTCAGAAGCCATGGAAAAAAAATACCTTATCTTTGAAAAACAAATTTCATAAACTAACATCAAATAAAGCAAATGTCATGAAATTTAAATTGCTAAATGAACATGAATATATGACAAATTTTCCCAACACATTCACTCCAAAGGAATCTATTGATAATAATAATATTGAAAAAATCCATACAATAATCAAAAACAATTCTGAAGATAAATATGCTGATCTTCCTGGCCATTTTAATCTAAGTGTTAAAGAATTAGGGACTCTTGCTTGCGATAGATGGATTTCCGATGCTATCCTTTTAAAGTTTATTGAAATGCTCAAAAACCAAATTGATCTTTCAAATAATTTTATTGCCTATTTCAATAGCATTTGTGATATAAAATCATATGTAGTAGATTAAAAAATGATTATCCCCATTTAAATAAGTTTGTATTCTTATTTTGCGTTAAATCTTCATATGACAAAGACGGCATTCAAAAAACATTTATTGCTGGTAAAGATAGAGATGGTAGTTCAGGGGAGATCATTTTGACGGGTAACCATTTTACCTTTTGCATATTTAATTCTCAAACAAAAGAAATTAATTACATTGACACTTTAGGAAATGCAATACCAGATAGTTTGTTATCTCATTTAACCGAATTTATTTCTTTTTAAGACACAGAGTTGTTACAAAATTTGGCATTAAGTACTATAAACAGTTCTCACACAACATCTACAGCTCCTCACAAATGTTCCTCAGGTATATGCAGTATTTACCCAATTCAAACATGTGCATCTGTCTGTGGGCCAGCTGTCATAATTGGAATAACCATTTACTTTTTTTTTCCTGAAATTTTTCACCATCTGATTTCAACTAAATGTAGTCCTGTAAATATCAAAGTAAATGAAAAATTAGAACCTATTACACACTTTCTCCCCAACTTTTCACCTCATTCTAAATATATGCGATTTATCATAATGTCATGGATTGCAAGTGGTATTATAAAAAGGGTAAATAAAAAGTGTGACGATTACTTGCAAAAGTAAAAAATAAACCTAACTTGAGGTGAATTTATTAAAAGTCAAATAAAACATAAACCAAATTTAAGACACTACAAAAATAGGAATATAGTTGTTTTAAGCCTGGCTTTGGTAAATGGGAAAGAAGTTTCTAAACATTTTCATTGCTCTCCATCTGGTTTACATGATTCAAAAACTATTAAATATATACAAGAGTTTCTTTTAAGTGCAGATGCTGCTTCATGGTTAAATGAAAAACTAAACACATGGATCTTAATAAATCAGGTTGCTGTTGGTCAGGAGACAAAGCATTATGTTGATAAGCTGCCACCTAATTTCACGACAGTTGAAATCTTAATGAAGTGTTCTTCTACATCTCCTATATGTAGATCAGCATGTAAAAAAATTCTAATTAAAGATTTTGAGTCTAACTTAAATGGTGATTCTGTAATCTGTCCAGGGTGCAATACAGAATGTTTTTGTGTTAAATCTTTGTGTCATAATTGTCATGCAGTTACAAGCCCAGAGTGGTATAAGATAGACAACGAGGTCAATTGTCTAGCATGTTATCGTTATTATAAAGACAGAAATTTAAAACGTCCCCAACAATTCCAGTCTGAAATGCCAAATAAAATATCTAAAATTCATTACGATCATTTCAAATGCTCTTGGCAATTAAAATTAGTTCTAAAGAGTGATGACCTCGAGCATTGGCAAGTATTAAAAAAAAAAATCAAATAATGAATATCAATTATCGTGGAAGGTTGATTTGTTCGGAGTCTTTTGCATTTTGCTACATTTGCAAAGTCCCACTCTGTGCCACGTGTGGCTCTAGTCTATTTTTGTTATTGAAAGCTGTTGTGTATTCATATGCCACATCCCAAATTGTCACAGGAGATCACATCATTACGGCGTTATAACGTCATCGGAGATCACTAAGAAAATTATTTATAGATCAAACATTGTACACGAAAATAGGTGACGCATTCTGCCGCCGTTGCTGAGTTGGTTGCTCATGAAATATGGGTCAAAGTGAAGGATTCATAAAGAAAATCGAAAAAAAAACAATTTTAATTATTTTATAAAATATCTGAGGAAACAGATCTTTGACGAAATTCGGTGTTGAATCCTTATATCCACGAAAATAGGTTACACCACTGTATCTTTTTGATAAATCAGTCTCTGCTGAACTGAAGGATTTGCTCGGGTGTTTCACTTGCTGGGGCCCAGCCCCAACGGACCCCAGGCTAACGGCGAGGCTGCTTCTATCTCATAACATTCATTGTACTATTGTCCCTATGGGCTGAATGTTAGATAGGACCATGTTCTTGTGTATTGCACCTACTTCTGATAGATCTACTTCTGACCAATCATGTAAAATAAAGAGTTTATTATTTGCCTATTAATATTTATTGGAATCTTCAATTTCAATAGTTCAAGGGACGTAATTGATGAAAATACATTTCTCCAATTTAAAGGGAGAAAACTAACCAATATGACTGTGATATTAGAAAAAAGTTGCAAATGCCCGAATCCATGTGAAAGCATTTAATGGTGAAAAGTGGCAACAAGTGATCAGAAGAGTTAGTATTCTCTGTCTGGAACAACACAATCATTGCTGCTAAATACTACCAAAAAATAGAGAGGCAAAACAAAACCTAGTGTGGGATATAGACTTGTTACGAATTTTACGCTGTTGAACCGTGGTTTGTTTTTTTGTTTCGTGTTTAAGAGTTCTGTTTTTTAGACATCCATAATACACCAGATTTGATGACGTAGTTCACACACATATGTCTCCAACAGACAGTCTTAAATTTTTTTTTTAACATGGAATCAGAGAACTTTACTCTTGGGTTTAATGCCACCACGCAAGAGGGAGTTCAGATCAACAGCGTCCATGTAACAAGTACAGAAACTTGCTGTTGAACCGTGGTGCGTGTTTTTTGTTTCGTGTTTAAGGGTTCTGTTTTTTAGATATCCATAATACACCAGTTTTGATGACGTAGTTCACACACATATGTCTCTAGCAGACAATCTTCGAATTTTTTTATCATGGAATCAGAGAGCCTTACTCTTGGGTTTGATGCCACTACGCTAGAGGGAGTTCAGATCAACAGTGTCCATGCAACTAGTACAGAAACGTACCAGGTCATCGCCAATGACGAGTTAGCCGGGGGTACAGTAGAGGACTATGGTCTTTATATTGTAAAAAGTGTAGATGGTATCAACGATGTCTACAACCAATTCTACTTCAGATTTTGCTGAAAGCCGGGAAAAGATTATTCATAACACTTCTAATACTACATAGAGCTGTCGTCAATCATGCTACAATACAATATCTCTAAGTATCTAGGAAGAAAACTCTGAATCAACAGAACCATCTAACTTTGATAAGAAGTTGTGGGGTTCGGAGTGCCTAGTCCATCAACTAGTGCTTGCTGTAAACAAGTTTCGGTACAAAGATGGTCGTGGTGATCCAAAAGTTTTTAAAACCTCTCTGGACAACTTGTAGTGGAATGCCAAGGTTATAGGAAAACTGCTCTACGTGGATGTCAAAATTTTCCACGCCTAGCTCAACTGAAGTTAGACGATAACATCAGTATTGTGAAAGATGTTGTGGTTGATGTGAGGAAATTCAGACAAAGCCCATTGAAAACAGTTTTAACAAGGACTGATTTCTTTGGTAATACACTCGGATCTGAAGAAACCTTGTTGAAACTGCAAGAAAAACCTATGGATCTTAATTTATTTACATCAATGATGGAAGCTCGTCTTGCTGAGCAAATCATTCGAATGTTTAGTGTTGCCAAGGTACATGCATGCCCCAAATGCAACTATGTGCTACTTGTCATCAAGGATCCTTGCCCAAAAAAATAAAGTTGTTGACTGTTTGAACAAGCTGAAACTAGAAAAAAGACAAAGCTGTTTCGATGTCAATATTAATTTCCTTGCAAAACGACAAAATGTATATTGTCGATTTGTGAAAGTACATTTGTCAAATTGTAAAAGCTTAAATGTATGTTGGTAATTTTGAGATTGATTTGTAAATGTTCATTACAAGTTCAATAGTCAATTTGCCAAAAATGTAGAAATGAAATGACGATGTGTGAACTGTTGATTGTACAAATATAGATGTTACATTATTTTGTCAGTTTGGATCGAGAGATTAAGTATTCTAATTAGTGGATGGAGCTTATACAATCACAAAATTACCAATATACATGAAACATTTACAATTTGACAAATGTATTTTCATCAAGTTACAATTCTACAAATGTACTTTCACAAATCGACAATATACATTTTGTCGTTTAGCAAGGAAATTAATATTGACATCAAAGCAACTCCATACAAAATAGCTATCCGATTGGGAAGAAAACATCGAGCAGAAAGACGGAAAAGAACTGAGGAAGTCAAAGGTGAAATAAGCAAACGTTTAGCCAATAACCAGCAGATTAATCTTCCACAGAATTTGTACAAGGACCATTGATTTCCACAATGCATGCTAGATAGTTTTTAAACCATTGCAAAAGCGGGGGTATTCTCCATGCACCTCCGCAGCATTAAAAGTAAAACACTTTCAGAAATTGAACAAGAAAATCTAATAGCATTTCTGTACAAAATCAATCTTTCAGCGGTTCTTCGTGCGGTTCTACGAAATGATATGAGGAATTATATCAATTATAATGAGGACATAATTTCATAATGAAAACTAGTATCAGGTGACCAGAAAAGTCAGCATATCCTGCCATTGTCTGGTCTTAAACTACCCACTACTGCTCAGTATTATACGCTTAATCAGAATGTTAATAATAACGATATTAATAAATCCTGTTTGATACATTAGACAGAAAATGAATTAGCAGTTGATCCTTGCATTAGTTCGAATTCCGCCACAAGATCATGGCTTAAATCATTACTGGGTAGATCTAGCCAAAATTTATTCTTTGTAGCGTTAAAAAAACTCGGCTAATTTCTTTTGTTTTTTTTACTATAGGGTTGACCTTTATGGACATTCAACCTCAACGATGGTATCAGTGAGTAGCAAATGTACATTCTTATTTTGGCGGGTTCTATGACCATCTTGAATACAGTGGAAATAATTGCAGTGCAAAACTACAGTGTTTGCTGCCTTGTCACATAGATCAACAAAATCTTGGAAATTGGGCATTACCGCAGCTTTCCTCATTTTATTGTGTGTCCCCTTTCAAGGTATTTTAGTCTGACTATTCTGGGACCCCATTCTTGTTTTACAAACATTACCAACGATGAAATAAAGCCCAATTTTAATTCTGTCCGGTGCAATTGTCGACCCAAAATACTACATTGTCCTTTGCTGAAAGATTAATGCACTTAATATGCAGATGTAACAGTTGTGCCAAGCCTACCCGCAATTGCCTCGTGAAACAGTATGACTGAATCACCTTTTTCTGTAAGGGAGGCAAAGGTCTCGTTAAAAACAACTAACCTACTTTCAAACTGATGCTCTGTGGTAGTTAATTTGGGTAATAAAATGACGCACTGCATATCAGCAGCAAATATTATGATATCTGGACATTTGTCGGACGCATCAGCTTGAAATGCACGTCTGGCTTTTTCTGCTGATAGTTCATGCTGCTCATCCTTTTGACAGGTTTCACAGTTTTGACTATCAACTTTCCAGTAAACAGGATAGGAAACCTTGGTCGTTTTACTGCTGTTATCCTTCCACATGTCAATAATTGAAAGGTTATAATTCAAATAACGCCTATTTGGAGTTTTCTCCTCAGTGTAATGACTGATTTGTGGATGATACTGATTGATAGGAACGGATCTGACCAAAAAATTTAATTTGTGCAAGATATTGTTGATTTAAACAAACACACATTATTTAATAAAATTCTGACATAAACTGTCACCTCTAACGCTAAGAAATTTTGATGCGTTTTTACTAAGTCAATAACTCAAATTGCGTTGATCGAAAAATTGTCCAATTTAATCTTGACTAAGATCTCCTCATTATACGCGTTTTTCATAATAACAATCACTTAAAAACCATTCATCGAAAGATAGCCAAATTCGAACTTGTCCAAGATCTCATCATTATAAATATTCACACCAAATTTCATTGCAATTTGATAAAAACTGTAGTCTCTATTGTGTTCACAACCAAATTTTGACGCGTTTTGGCTAAGTCAAGGGCAATAACTCAAAAACCGTTCATCGAAAAATCGTGAATATCGAACTTGTCCAAGATCTCATCAATATAAATGACACACCAAATTTCATTCGAATCAGAT